GTCTCTTCCAACTCTTTGTCTTATGATTTCAATAAATGTATTTTGTCTATATTGTGGCCTAATTCTTATAGTGAAGAGAGGTGAGTACTAGGGCTGGGCGGTTTCGTTTGTTAATTTCGTAATTCGTTATTAATTCGTATTTAAATTAGCTTATAATCCGATATTGAGCCATGCAGGAGTAATTAAAAATCGAAACGAATTTTTTCAATTTATTTCGTAATTGTTTCGTAATTGTTTCGTAATTGTTTCGTAATTGTTTCGTAATTGTTTCGAAATTATTTCCGTATGTCTGGTGCAAGTTTTAGGATTGTTGTTTGTTTTATCAGTGATAAAAAATAAATTATCACACCAACAGTCAGCAACAGAGGGAGAGGGAAGCTTCAGAAGTTCCCCCTGTCCCATTTGGAGGGTTTTTTAGCATATTGCGCAATTGCATCCGCCATTAACGAATCGATTCGTAATTGGTTCGAAATCGATTCGTAATTGTTTTGTAATTTTACGAAATTTCGTATATTTCGAACTTTTTTAAAGGAAAATTTTGGAATTCTTTTAAGAAACGAAACGCAAAAACCCCCTAAAAACGAATTGAGTTTAGAAACAAATTTTTCCGTGGTTACCCAGCCCTAGTGAGTACCAAATAGCTGATGTTGTTATGATGAATTAATTCCTTCATCTTCCAATCCAGGAGCAGCAGACAGACTGGTTCCAACCTCTACATGGCATCTCTATTAACATTTCGTGATAGCTATCATACGATCCCTTAGTCATCTGTCATCCAAGATAAACATATCTAGATGCCTACCTTTCTGTTAGAATTCAACTCCACACTGCTGAAGTCTACAGTCCTCAATAAGGAACAGTTAGCTTTAGAAGAGGCTGAGGGAATCCTCTCCCCCCCCCCAACGACTCCTGAATGTCAGTTGGACATTCTATTTGTTCTCTCTCTCTTTCTGCTCTAATTCTGATTGGTGATGTAAAATGGATACTTTTCAAGTTGCATGCCTTTGTTTAAGACCTCTGCGTTTTCTGCCTTTGCAAGTGGACCTCTCTCTGCTTTGTGTGTTTGAAGTGATGTAGTGTTTGGAGGGTCTTGTTTAAGCCTCTGAAGAGATAGAGTTTGAAAGAAGCTCAGACCCAATTCTTTTCTATCAAGAAATGTAGTTCTTATATTTTTAAATAAACCTTTTTGAAACTTTAAGGATTGAACTCTGCATCTTCAGTCCCCTCGGGAAGATAGGGTGGAATATAAATAAAGTCTTATTCTTATTATCTTTGCCTCCTAAGCTCAGAATTCTTTTACAGCCACAACACTTTCCCTTTTGCTTGATGTGAGCTGACTGCTCAGTGAACTGTTTATGTTTTTGAATGCTCTGTTATTTTGGGGACTTTTTCCTAACCATTTCAGGATCATCCCTTACAAAGATCGCATCCAAACTATCTTTTGCCTGACATCCAAATGTACAAGGTCCACCTGCTCCATTGCTTTTCCTTTCTTTTGCTCTTTCAGGTCATACCAAGCCCCTATACCTTATCTTACACACACACACACACACACACAAACCTCTTACAGTCTTACAATCCAATCTCACCCTTCCTGTTTCTTTGTGGACACTTCACCCCGGCCCTCTCTCTTTTCACTATTTCTAAAACAAAATTCTGAGGCCAAATGGAGCCCAGAGAAGTCACATGGATGAAGGCCCTCTAGTTAGTTTGCAACTTTCCTGTGCAGTGCCTGAAAACAGTCCTCAATAAAGGGAAATTATAAAAGGAAAGGTTTAAAATCCACAGGACACTATGCTGCTACAGTAGTAAGTGTGTGTGAACTTTCCTGGTCACAGGGCCCCCTGACTCATTACCTGAGCAAATCACACCAGCAGCTTCTCCAGATTCACAAGGTCCCCAATCCCTTAAATCACAGACTATAATAGAATCCCCTTTCACAATGCAAGAATTATAGAATAACTTGACAGGATTATATTTTCTTCCAAAGTGGGATCCTCTCGGGGTTGATAAGGCTGCTCCACAGTTTAATGTCCTACAAAAAAATTCAGCAGTCTCCAGATCCCAGCCATCATCACAAATGACTTTCCACTGCTGCTCTCCAAACACTTCTACTCTCCCAGAACAGAGACTCGAACCATTGACCAGTCTAATCTGACCTGAAATGATAGAAAAGAAAGCTTGTTGTTTTTCAACTTCATCCACTCTCCCTAGAAGAAGGCTTTTCACATTAAGGTTGTCCCAAGTGTTTGAGTGATTTTAAGAACATAGAGCCACCCCAAATATTCTTGTTCATTTACCTCGAGAGATTAATGTAATGGAAATCCCACCTACCTTAGGAAGCATTTAAAAGATAAAGCACAGATCACACAATAGCTTACTCACACACAGCAGGAGGAAACAGTGTGACTGGAGGAATCCTAAGCTTAAAAACAATGAGCAGCAGGGCTTACCTTAAAGTGTGAAAAACAGTTTATTACAACACAAAGAACTATGTTTTATAGATAGGAAAAATGGGATCTAGACTGTCTAAATCTTAATAAAAAATTAAACCAAAAGGAAATACTCAAAACTACATTCTGTGTTCAGAACACACTGACTACGTAGTCTTGGTGGCTGAACACAAAAGGCATGCAACCTGAAACACATCAGTCTGCGTCATCAATGAGGAGGGAATAGAGTGTGAGAAGACAGAGACAACACGTATTCATCAGGGAGGATAATGGGGGAGGTCTTCCCTAGCCTAATCCTGATTGCTGCTTGATTTCATGTGTGCAGATGTGCATGTTTGCATCAATTCCAGACTATAAAACCCAATTCAAGACTATAATACCCATGACGAAATAAAGGGGCGGTGATAGACTATTGCAGGAAGAACAGCAAAATTGCATGGTGGGAACTGTAGTCTGAGAAGCAGCAGGAGAGAGGATAAGGGCGGAAGTGCTGAAAAGCAGAATAAATGAAGGGCGGAAAAAGGAAACAGGAAACAGGAAGAAGACCATAGAGAAACCATAGAGAAGCCACGTTACGAAGGTACTCAAGGATTTAATCTTTTTAAAGACAAAGTGGAAAATTATTAAGGCAAGATTGAGAAATTTGACTAAATACAAGGATGAGAAGTAGACGGGCAGCGGACAAGGACAAAAAGCAGACAAGTAGCGGACAAAGAAGAAAAACAGACGGGCATCGGACAAGGACGAGAACTAGATGTATAGAAAGACCAGGATGAGAAGCAGACGAACAAAAAGATAGCGAAATCTGTTTATAATTAATTAGAGGACTTTATTGGAATAAAACTTAATTAATTATTGACAGTGATTTACTAGTAAGAATAAAATTCAATTATTATCTTTAATAAATTTTGGCAGATTAATATATAAATTAAATATATAAGTTAAAAGTTTAAAATCATCTATTTGGAGGAAATGGTAGAGTATTTTAAATTTATCCCAAATTTATTAATATCTATTGGACAGATCAATTTTATATAAGATTAATCAAGTTTAAATCCTAGTAGTTATAAATTATATAGTTAAATTGATTGGGTTTAAATGTCAGCGAAGGGGAAAGTGGACAAAGAAAAATAATTATGTATCCAGGCAAGAAGAGGCTTCTTAGATACTGGAGCAAGTATGGATAACTTAATGAAAGAAATAAAGAAACTTTCTGAGAAGCAAGACACTCTGAAGAAGGAAATGACAGACAAACAAGAAGAATATTATTTAAAAAGTGATGATGTCAAAGATATGGAAAATGAAATGAAGGAGTTTGGGGAATTGAAGAAAGAAATGAATTATTTGGCTGGAGAGGTGGAAACCCTGAAAGCAGGTAAAATAAAAACAGATGAGACACAGACTACAATTTTGAAGAAATTTAAGATACTGGAGAAACAAAAGGAGAAAATGGAATTGGAACAAGAAAAATCATTACAAAACAAATGGAATATCAATTAAGGTTAAGAAATATTCAAGAAGATTCTAAGGAAGATATAAGATCATTAGTTATAAATCTCTTAGCTACAAGTTTTGAAGTTGAGGAGGATGAGTTAGAGCAAGATATTGATCAAATATATCGGATTTCCCCATTCTTCTCTAGGAAACATAAAACACCAAGAGATGTGATAGTCCAATTCACAAAGAAGAAAATTAGAGATGAGGTATTATGGAAGACCAATAAGGACCCACTACAATACAAAGGAATGAAGATTCTGGTTCTCAAAGAATACCCACAAATGACGCTAAATAGGAGAAAAAAGTACTACCTTCCCACAGATGAATTGAAAAAGAGAGGAATTAGATATAGATGGGAAAGGCATGAGGGAATAATGGTGACTTATAAAGAAGAACGATATTAGCTAACTACAGAAGAGAAAGCAAAGACTTTCTATGAAAAATTGATGCGAGAGGCTGAGAAGGTAGAGAAGAGTGAGAAAGGGAAGAAGAAGCAATTGTCACCCAGAAGCGGGAACCTTTTAAAACAACAAAAAATCATTTAGAATTGGAATTTCAAGCTAAGCAAATTAAATTTTTGAAACAACAAACATTTGAGAATGCGAACAAACCGGGAAAGTGGTTAGCTAGACAAGTGCGGAAGAAACAACAAGCGAGACAAATTTTGAAGATCAAAGTGGGAGACAAAGTTATCTCTGCAGATAGAGACATAATGGAAGAATTTAGGAAGTATAAACAATTATACTCAAAAGACCACATAAGTAAAGAAGATATAACGACCTACATAGACAAATTTAGATTTCAGAAAGTGGATGATGAAACAAGGGAAAAGTTAAACAAGGAAATAACAGAAGAGGAAACAGAGAAGGCTATTCAAAAAATTGATTCAGAAAAAGCTCTGGGTCCGGATGGATATACAGCTGGATTTTATAAAACGTATAAACAAGAATTGACACCCCTATTAAAAAAGGTGTTAAACGAAGTAATGACCAGACAAATAATTCCGGAAACTTGGACAAAGGTGGAAACAGTTTTCATTAATAAAGAAGGGACAAGTGAAACTGAGATTAAAAATTATTGACCAATCTCACTCCTTAATACTGACTATAAATTCTTGCGAATATCCTGACCAAGAGGTTGAATTTTTTTTAAGACATTGGATAGAGGATGATCAAATGGGATTTTTGCCAAATAGGTATATGGAAGACAATATTAGGCTAGTATTGGACTTAATAGAATATTATGAATTAAATCATCAGAAAGAATTTGCCATACTAGCCTTGGATGCAGAAAAAGCATTAGACAATTTAAATTGGGATTTTTAAAAAAATAATACAAGAATTAGATATGGGTGATAAATTTAACAATGCAATAAATACAACATATGAGTCACAAAAAGCTAAATTAAGAATTAATAGTCAAATGACGGAGGAGTTTGATATATTCAAAGGAACTAGACAGGGTTGTCCCTTGTCACCATTGATATTTATAATGTCACTAGAACCATTAATGAAACTTATAAGAGAAGACCAAACGATTCAGGGCGCAAAAATTGGTAAAAACGAATACAAAATAAGAGCTTTTGCTGACGATGTGCTCGGGATAATGGAAGACCCAAGTAAAAATATACCAAGATGGATGCAGAAGATAAAAGAATTTGGGTTGGTTGCAGGATTCAAAGTTAATACGTCAAAAACTAAAATATTAACTAAGAATGTAGAGAAGAAAAAGCAGGATATGGTTAAGGAGCAAACAGGTCTGGAAATAGTAAAAAAAATTAAGTATTTAGGAGTATGGATAACGACTAAGAATGGACAACTGTTAAAGAATAATTATGAAGAGGTGTGGAAAAAAATACAAAAGGGCCTACAAAAGTGGACTTATCTGAAACTATCACTGTTAGGCCGCATTTCTTTAATTAAGATGAATATATTACCAAAACTGCTGTTCCTCTTTCAAAATCTTCCAATAATTAGAAGTCAAACAATTTTTGTAAAATGGAAGAAAGAGATATTAAAGTTTATTTGGGCCGGAAGAAGACCAAGAATAAAATATGACAATTTGATTGATAAGAAAACCAGAAAACCGGGATGGGACTTCCTGACTTCAAAGCTTACCACGATGCATGTGCTTTGATATGGATTAAAGACGGGATATTATTGAATAAAGAAGACTTTCTAAATATAGAAGGGAATGACTTAAGAGTAGGCTGGCATGCCTACTTGTGGTATGAGAGAGAAACAAAGGAAAAGAATTTTGGCAATCATTTTGTCAGAGCACCTCTATTGAGAGTCTGGCAAAAATATAAAAGAGATCTCTACTGCAAAACACCTTTATGGGTCTCCCCAATGGAAGCACATCAGAGAAGACTTTTGGGATGGCGAAGGTGGCCAACTTATAGAGATTTGTTAAATAAGAGTACAAATAATATTAAAACTTATGAGGAGTTAAAATTGAAATTCTCTAATATTACATGGCTACACTATATGCAAATTAAAGACTACTACAACCAAGATAAAAAATTAGGCTTCAATTGGGAAGAAGTGATCTGGGATAGGATTCTAAAATTGGAAAAGAAAGTAACATCCAATATTTGCAATATATTACTTACCTGGCTGACTGAAAAAGAGCAGATTAAAAATTGTATGATAAAATGGGCTCAAAATTTAAGAAGACCAATTCAAATGAGAGAGTGGGAGCAAATGTGGAATAAAAAAATTAAAATATACATATGCAATGGATTTAAAAGAAAACTGGATAAAAATGTTCCACAGATGGTATACCACACCTAAACAATTAGCAAAAATGTACAAAATGGTTTCTGATAAGTGTTGGAAAATTCATGAACAACTTGGATCCTTTTACCATATACGGTGGATGTGTAAAGTAGCAACCAAATATTGGACAGAGATACATGAAGAAACACAAAAGATTTTAAAAATAAACTTTATAAAGAAACCAGAGTATTATCTGTTAGGGTTTACAGATCCAGACTTACAATTAAATGAACAAGAAGATAAACTTTTTACATATATTACGACTGCCGCCAGGATTGTTTTTGCAAGAGAGTGGAAACAAGAATTAAACCCACCCATAGAAGCGTGGGTAGAAAAAATAAGGGAAATAAAGGATATGGATGAATTGACTTTTCTGTTGAAGAAAAATACTGGTAATACTTTAAAAAGAACGAATTGGGACTCTCTTCATGACTATCTGGAGAACTTGCAAAAATAAAGGACACAAGAGACAATTTTTTAAAGTATTTTTCTTTTAGTAACAAGAAGATATTATCCAAGAAGATGGAATGGAAGTCGATTTTTATTCTTTTTTCCTTCTATTTTTTGTACTTTTTGTATTTTTTTTGTACTTTTTGTACAACTCTATGTTGCAGTTTTTTTCTTATATGACTCTTTCTTTCTTTCCTTTCTCTATACTATTATTGTTCTCACACTTTCGTTGTATTATGATAAAACCTAATAATTTTTTTTAAAAAAAGACTATAAAACCCATGATCCAAAGACAATCAAACATGGCATTTTTATTGTGCGCTATCTTGTCTTGTCTTGATTGTAAGGATAAATGTTTAGTTAAACTATTGTATTTTAATCTCCTCAGTTTCTAGTGAATTGGGAAATAAAAAGGACTAGAGATATTAAGGCGTACAGATTGTCTGATTCGTTGATCTTAATAAATTTCATTCATTCATTTAGCGGTAAATTGCCCTGAGTCGCCCTTGCACTGAGAAGGGCGGTATATAGTAAATAAATAAATAAATACATAAATAAATAAATAAATAATGCTGTGCATCAACAATTTCTTTTCTTTATGAGAAAGCGTTCAACTTACTAACTATAAAACCTGATGCTCAGAATTTTGCTTTGGTTCTACCTGTTCTAGGTAAAGGTAAAGGTAGTCCCCTGACATTAAGTCCAGTCATGTCTGACTCTGGGGTGTGGTGCTCAT